ATCACAAAATTGTACTTACTTCATGGTTACGGGCAAGTACCTTTGTTGAAGAGAGAGAAAGAAGCTTCTGCATTTGTAACTCCAAATGGGCTGTATCAAATTAAAGTAATGCCCTTTGGTATGAAGAACACACCAGCCACATTTCAAAGACTTACGAACAGAGTTGTGGTGAGATTAAATAATTGTGCCGTCTGTATAGATGACGTTGTGATCTTTAGCCATTCATGGAAAAATCACATGGTGCATTTGGCAGAGCTGTTTGAAAGACTATGGGAGGCAAAACTGGTTATAAACTGAACAATAACTGAATTTGCGAAGGCAGAAGTGACATTCTTGGGGCATAACGTCGGACACGGAAGGATGACCCCAAGGAACGTGAAGACAAAAGCCATCAAGGAATTTCCAAGACCATGCTCGAAGAAAGACGTGCTTTGATTTTTGGCTTGAGCAGGTTCTACCGGAAGTTTATACCAAACTTTAGTAGCGTGGTGGCACTGCTGACGGATTTGCTAAAGAAGAATACGAAATTTTGGTGGATAGAACAATGCCAGGAGACATTTGAGAATTTAAAAGCCGTGTTAAACACAGCACCAGTTTTAGCCACACCAAATTTCTTGAAACTCTTTAAGGTCACTATTGACGCCAGCGATGTAGAGACTGGAGCTGTGTTGGCACAGGAGGATGATGGTGGAATTGAAAGGCCAATTGGTTATTTTTCAGAGAAACTCAAAATCCACCAGGGAAAATACTTACCATTGAAAAAGAGTTATTGAGTTTGGTACTGGCAATTACATTGTTTATGTTACAAACAAAGTTTTGGAGACAGTTGTGCATAAAAACCACAACCATCTCACCTTTTTGGAAAGATTTAAGGACAAGAATAGAGTTTATTTCATTGGAATCTTGTGCTACTGGCTTTTAATTTACAGATTGCACATGTTGCGAGTCATAAAAATGTTTTTTGCAGATACATTATCGTGGGTTTAAAAGAAATTGTGTAGGTAAGATCGAACTGATACGGTCTAATGTTATATATGTATGCAGAATTAGTATGAAATGTGTAACTTTAGATTACTGACCTCGGTTTCTCATAATAATAGCATTAAGATTAAAATAAAATGAAGCCATCTTTTCATAATGATGGTTCATTTATTTTTCTTACGGTGGGAAGTGTTACAAAGTTGTGTAGAGTGTGTGGTTCCTTTAAGAGATAAAGTGCTTAGAGATTTATACAGAAAAAAAACTTGCGTACAGCTGAAGATGTACAGCCAGTTCTAAAACTGAAACAAGTAAGAATTGGCTGTTTGATTGGAAACCTTTGGCTTGTTTTGATGTTTTGGCAACGAGCTGGACTCAGTCAATTTTAAACCAAGCAATTAGTGATTGAAAGCCAATTGAATTTAAATCTGGTGGTTTTGACAACCCTGGACCAATGCTATTGTAAGAAAATTTTTATGTCATCCAAGGTATACAAGGAGAGGGTTTTTGAAAATCGGTGTGAAAGTGAACTGCCGTCTGAGAAATAAGCACCTAGTTCTCACAAGCAATCACTAAGCTCTCTAAGAAAGCACCATTTTATCCATAAAAGGTACCACGGCAATTCTAATTAAGAGTCTTCACAGAAAAAAATACATCCCTGAAATTAGAATCAGTGGAAGAAAGGCGTTTATGACTTGAGAACAGCAGAAGAAATGTATTTATTACTGTAGAGACTGTGGAGAAGGCAGAACATTCCAGAAGACATATTCTGTGTGACTTTGAGAGACTAAGTTTTAATTTTTTTTTTATTCTTACTACTCTGATTATATTATTGGGACTTGTGTTTATTGGAATAGCATACTAGTCAAATTTTGTTCAGTTAGGGAATAGTTTGGACTTAGGTGGGAATTGTTTGGTGTGTTAGTAGATCTGTTAATTTGTTCACTTTTAGGGTTACATAAATAAATTGTTACTTGTTACTTATAAAATGAATATCAGGGATTTTCTTTCATTTAACCTCCCCTTCTCCATAACACTCGTCACTTAAACTCCGTATCAATTCTCTTTCCTTCTTAAAATGCTAGAAAATTGAATTTGACACAATCAAAGGAAGTGCTTATCATGCAATATTACACGGTATTATTTCCAGTGAGCCCAACACAATACAAGTGTCTTGCTTTTCAACTGCTGGAAAGTACATTTGTTCAAAAAGTATTTCCTTGCACATAGTATGACAAACAGCATCATTGAGATTTGTTCAGCATTTCCTTTAGATTTACACTAAAAAGTAGCACTTACTAATAATAAGAAATAAAACCAACATTAACCTTCAATAAGAAATAACATGCAACATCCAGACAAATATATGAAGTAATTGTGGAAAAATTTCTTCTATTGTAAAAGACACCTCACGGCTGTATAATTTGGAAAAAAGGAAAAAAGGCTACTTCTTGTAAAGTTTAGACTTTAAAACTGTAAAATGAACATTCACCTATTTTGTACATGTTTTGTTCCCTTAAAAGTAAAACGTCATTGCACATGTGCAAGAACTAAGGACACACTGGCCTTCAAAATGGAGTTCTAAGGCTTGACTACAATCAAGACTAGATTGGTGTTCACTGGATAAAAGTCCGACTAACTGGAAGTCTATCTATAGACAGTGGAGCCTGCAGGGAACTTGGTGAGTGTGTGGTCCCAGAAAAATTTGATTCAACACCTCCATCATCAATTTAAGGCCTGCTGCTTCAGAAAAGTAAAGATGAGAGTCCCTCTCTCTTTATGTCTATCCCCTGGGGAAGGAGCCATTTTTGTTTCAGCTGACCAGACAAAATAGGTGACGGCAGATGACACATTGCTCCTGATTTTCATTCCTGTTGACCTTTGACAGAATGAATAATGGAGGAATGTGCAATGGGTAGTTGAGACAATATTGTCTGTACGCTATACATTACGGCCCGATATCAAAATTGCCCCTCTACCCTCCAGGGTCTCTCTTTATTACACAGCACTGTATGATTAGAAACAAGTTCCTGGGGTCGAATGTGAAAATCAGTGAGGACTGATTGGAGCGCACTCTCCTTAAATGGGAAATCCCAATCACTGTAAATATGCCTCTTATTATACTCCTGTGACAGCTTTACTCTCTGACACACCCATCAGTTGAAAACACTCTATCATGGACATATGTGATTTTTGAGAAATTCTAAGTCAGCTTGAATGCATCCTCATTAAGGAATCACCAGATAATATCCATTTTTGAGTTCCCCAAATGAGCTCCAATTTTTGCCCATCTCACTGCATCAAGAGTGTGTTCCTTGCATGGGGTCTCTCAGCCTACACTATGGCAGTAATCAGCAGCAAGCCAGGAATGTCAGAAATGCTTTTGGTAACAAGGCTCAGACCTTGAACAGTCCACATCTGTCAACTTTTTTCAAAGAATCTACTTCACCCGCACTCCTCAGCTGGCACAAAGGTGGCTTGTAACACTGTAAGCCATGGATAAATGTACAAGTAAGATTCATGGGTGTGATCCTGTTTGTCAGTCTCTCATATGCAAAGGCTAAGAACCAGAAATGGATAACAGTGTAAAGTTACCTTGTGTCATTGACTATTTTAAACTGGAGCACAGATGGTGCAGTCAGATTATCAGTATCAATGCATGCAATACGGCTGTATCGCACTTAACAGCATGTAGTACACTTTACACATTGCAAAAACAACTGCGTCACCAGAGTTAAGCAGAAGATCTGTAAAATGCATGTGCTGGTTCATATAATAGAAACACCTTGAAAATTAGTCTTGTGTTATCTGGTATCATTTACAGATGGTTTAAGAGCTGTTTAGCATTTTCACAAGATCGCAGGGGGTACTTTCCTGTATCTCCCCTTTATCTAACAGCATTGGTCCATACATGTATGTTATGTAATATGGAAGTAAAAATTTAAAAGAAATACAGCCTCACTTTGTTGAAATTCATAGGCTCCACCTCTGTCTCGTTCTCTGACAGGACCTCACATTGATAGACTTATCCATCTCACCCCCAACATCTCACTTTCTACCTACAGACGACTAATTCGGGCTTTGTGTGTTCCTGTTTTGCTTTCTCTCCTTCTTTGGTGCTGCAGTACAATAGCCGTGGGCCCATGGCCTTCTTAATTCCAATTAAATAAAGCATTATTGGCAAGTATACTCCTAATATACATCTCTAATATACCATGGAGTTCCCTTTCCCCCTCGTTACTTCTCTTTCACAAGAGCCTGTCCTTTTGAGGCTGCAATCATCTAGTTCCAAATTCGTTAACGAGTTCTAATCTGTATCCTTAGATGTCCAAAGTTAATTTGAGCTGGGAAATTTCAAAGCTTGCTCATTATTTATCGGGCAAGACATTTTTCTTTATCCCAATTGCATCAAAAATATGCTCAACAGAGATTGCTATTTGATTCAGTTGAGAAGGAGCTTCTTTACATTCATCTGAAAAAGAAGCAAATCACCTTTGCCGAAGATAAAGAGTTAATTCCTCAGTTCTGGACAAGTGTTACACTAGATCCAATCAAAGTGTTAACACTCTTTTTCTTTCCACAGATGCAGTCATCAGATCTGCTGAGTTACTGCAGCACTTTCTGTTTTTAAACAAGACTTGGTTATAAGAACAACCTACCACATCAGCTAAGTGGTGTAGAGAAAGGACAAAAGAGAGGAATTGGATGGGTGAACACGTCCCTTATTTTGTCAACCAAGAAGTTGCCTTCCTATTCCGAGATTGAATAAAGTCTGGAGGATAAAAAGAAAAGAAGCCAGACTCTGACTGGAAGACATACTGCAAGTTTCCAATTACTTGCTCTGTCTGCTAGATAATTGTTGCTTTCCACAACAACTCCCCCTGATATGTCTACAGTAATTTATTTATTGCTATCTTCAAATTGAAAGCAAAACATCAAAACAAGAAAAGAAAACTATAAACATATTTATTTCAGCCAATATTTAACTTTGTCATATTCTCAGTCATGTGAAAATCCCTTTCCCAAGTACTCTGTGCGATGTGAAAATGCAGAAAGCATTAGATAACTTATCTATTATTATTCATTTGCGTTCCTCTTTAGATTTGCATAGTTCATCCAACATCACTGCTCAGTGTATTAAAAATGAATTCTGGCTCAATATGGCCTCATTATTACACTAAGATCTCTTTCAATGTTACTTCTGTTACTGACATATGCTGTTAATGATGCCTGATTGAGGCCTACAACTATTGCTGTTGGTGTATGTCCTCGTGTCTGAGGATCTTGTAAATGACCCAGTAAAAAATATTGAAAATTAAAAAGGCTAAAGGAAAACCAGCTCGTGCTATGGTATCGATCTTCTTGGCTCTGTCGATGAAGAGTTTTCTCATATCATCTTGGTTTTTTGGTGCAGTCTGGGATGCGTTGATTGCACCTTTAGCGGTGACTCCATCTTTTGTTTGTAGGCAAGGTCCCACCCCATACGCGGTGAAGCTAAAGCGACTTTCCCTCACCTCGTCATCCTGAGAAAGTAGCAGAATGTTCAAGTTAACCCTGAATGAACATGTCAAATAAGAACACCATCATTGTCACACAATACCATTCTACAATTCTGAGCTCTTTTTCTTCACCACCATAATGAAAGGGCAGAAATATTTAACTAATTTATTTTTATTTCAACCTTTCATTCAAACTGTGAATGATACAACCTGTGAAATGTTTATTCCCCATGTCAAAATTTGGATAAATTTTGCAAATCATTTAGACAATGGCCTAATTTTACTCCTATATCTTTTTGTTTTACGGTCTTCTCAATTATTTTTAATGTGGAAGTGCTGGTGTTGGACTGGGGTGGGCAAGGTTAGAAGTTACATGACACCAGGTTATCGTCCAACCAGCTTATTCAAACTCAAGCTTTCAGAGTGATGCTCCGTTGTCAGGTGAAGTCATCTTCGTCAGTGATTTCAAATAAACCGGTTGGACGATAACCTGATGTCATGTGACTTGTGACAATTACCTTTAGTATGCTTCTGTATTTATAGAAGTAATTGCATGGAAAATTCAGTGCTGAATAATGCCAATGATTCCCAAGGCTATGTATGCTCAAGCTCGGATGCAATGTAGATATTACCGTGACCATGGACCGAAAACCCAGAAACAAAGTGCATTTCCCAAGTGCACAACATCTCTACCTCAACTACTTTTGTTACATCTTGTAAGTTCTCCTGAGAGAAACTGGCAAGTATATCTATCGATCCAAGTTATGAGAGAACTTTAGTACTAGCCTGACACTTATCTCATTGAGGATGTTCAACAGCCATCACAGTAACTTAATTATTTCATCTGATTGCGGATTTGTGACCGACAGAGAAGCTTAAACTTAGAGCTAAGCTATTCAGGGGTGATGTGGAAGTGTTGTAGAAATCTGGGACTTCTTCTTTCAGAGTGTTGTTGTGACATGATGGACCCATTAATTTTAATTGTCATAGTTGCTGCCAAATGATTGAATTAAACAAACGTATTAAGGGTGATTTAAACTATGCGGGTCATAAGAGTCATAGTCGTAGAGTCATACAGCATAGAAACAGGGCCTTTGGCCCACCATGTCAGGTAAATCAAGCTATTAAAGCAAAATACTGTGGATGCTGGAAATATGAAATAAAAACGGAAAGTGTTGTAGAAACTCAGCAGGTCTGGTAGCGTCCGTGGAAAGAGAAACAGTTAACATTTCGAGTCCTGTCTGACTCGTCTTCAAAACCTGTTCAGATCGGACTTGAAATATTAGCTCTGTTTGTCTCTCCACATATGCTGCTAGTCTTGCTTTATATTGCCAGCAATTTCTATGTTTAATGCAGATCAGCCACAATTTAAATGAATGGTTAAATGGTCCCCTTTCATTCCTGTATTCCTTTCTCTCTTATCAGGCCCATTTGTATTCAAGATTTTGATCTATTAGGCAAATTCGCAGGATATTATGATATTATAACAGATGTTTCCTAAATCTAATAACCTGTGGAGTAGAATTATGTTTTTAAAAATTCTAAATGGTGTAGGTATCCTTATTTTCTGCCTATAATTTTAACTTTCATTTGCTCCTAAGCTGAGAGCTCATTTGAGTTTTCTGGCTCCAAGACAGTGATAGACTCCTGATACAATTCTTCATATCACCTTAGCTACAATCAGCTAAAATAGGCCCAGGTCAAGGACTAAGCCAATCCAAGTTATCAAGTTATCTACTGGATGGACTGCAAGTGCCTTGAATCCTCACATGTGGCTAAGAGATAACAGCATAAGAAATAAGCAAGGACAAAACTAAAGGGATTACTTCCAAATGTGAAATGTTGGTGCATGTTAGATGTTAAAAGTTGGTTAAGCTCTCTTTCTTTAGTCTGACAACTAGCCTACTTTAATAGGTTCAATCAGGCACATTTACGATAAATGCTTTCACTTGTAGAGGAGTCCAAATCAAGTGGTTAGAAGCATCTAATAATCACTGATAAATTCAATAGGAATTGGAAAGGATTTTTTTTACCCAGTATGTGGTGATAATGTGGAACTTGTTATCACAAAGAGGGCATGACATCGATGCAGTAAAACAGGAAATAGTTTAGGAAAAAGAAGTAGAAAGATGATAGGGTCAGATGAAAAGGAATGGATGGAAACTTTGGCACAGCATAACCAGTGGCACATTTCAGTGCACAGTTAATTACATGCATTTCTTTAGAGCATTTCCTTTTATTCATTTTCGGGCTATCAGCTTGGTTGGTATCTATTGCCTATCCTTAATTGCCTTTGAACTGAGTGGCTTGCTAGACCATTTCAACTAAGAGTCACCCACATTGCTATGCGTGTAGAGTCACCTGTTGGCCAGATCGTAAGGATGACGGATTTCCTTATTAGTAAACCAAACTTTTTTTTTAACAACAATGGTTATTGTATTACTATTAGGCCATTTTATGTTAATCAAGCCAAAATATTGAATGTATTCAAGAGGCGACCAGATATAGCACATGGGGCGAATGGGATGAAGGGTTATGGGGAGAAAGCAGGATTAGGCTATTGAGTTGGATGATCAGCCATGATTGTGAAGAATGGCAGAGTAGACTCGAAGGGCTGAATGGTCTCCTCCTGCTCCTATCTTCTATGTTTCTATGTTTCCATGTTTAATTCCAGATTTTTACTGAGTTCAAATTTCATCATCTGTCAGAACATTAGCCTGGGGTTTTGGGATTCTAGTTCAATGACAATACCACTCTGCCCCCGACTTCTCTTTGTATATCATTCCATTTGTATTACTAGGCAGCATTAGGAAGATCCTAAATCCTATCAGATGGTGCTAATCTCAACAAAGTCATTAGGCAGGAAGGGGAAGAGTATGGTGGTCGAGTCACCCAATAATATTCCAGCAAACCTTCTACTATCTGGTTAGAGAGTGGACAGGGAGGATATGAACTGTCAGCCCCATTGCTTTGGGATAGTTGTTGGTACGAATAAGATGCATAGGAAAGAAACTAAATATCAATGGTAAAGGGTCAATAATATGGAAATTGAAGTGCTGCTGTGACATTTAATTACAAATGTGCTAACACATCCTTCTGAATTCTATGCTATTTTAACATGCTTGTTAAAATAACAGAAATAAATTCAAATCAAAGGCATTACTATTACATACTGTGATTTCAATCCAAAAATCCTACTTACATTACCAGAGATTCTGTTTTCCAGATTCAGTGGCAACAGCTCCATGTCAACTTAAAATTAACCAAAATGAAGGCACAGCTGGTAATGAAGCTAAAATATGTGTCCTAAATGTGTTTAAATTAACTACTTTATCTTGAGGGGATGAATTAAAATCATTTAAATAAAATGACTGGCGGATATGCTTCGATTTTTCCTATTTAAACTACTCTTACAATATTGTCAGAATTGAAGCAAGGTCCTGTTATGTTGCTGATCACAGCATAATAAACCATATCAAGCACTTTTAACATGGTAACAAGTGCTTTTTTTTATTTGAAATCAGTACCAAGTCACATGAAACTAACAGCCCATGCAAAAAAACAGAGGAACTTCAGTCAGATGACAAAATGATTTGAGAGCATAAAATGAGTTAGTATTGACATTGAGACATGGAACAGGGACGAATTACAGAATGTTCTAACACAGGGAATCTACCACATAGTTCACGTTGTGTAAAAATCTCACAATCTGCTCCTCAAACCAGACACAATTCCAAGGTACCTCTCCTGTCATTACATAACAAAGTCGGCCCCCGTGCAGGGTTCAAATTACACTTTGCGATGACTTCAAATTTGAGCACTTTTACTTTGATCAATGGTTCTGTTTGTTCATGGACTTAGATTTTAGGGAGCTGCTTCTTGCATATTTTTAGGCTGTAGTTTTCTCAGAGAAAGCTACATCGCCCTCTAGCGATCTCAAATGAAATGGTTCAGATGCTGTGGGAAATAATGGTGGATGGGGGTGGATGGATGTTTAAAAAGACTCACTCAGAACTGGGAAGCATCTGAAAGAACTTCATATTCAAATCATGTTTCACTTTTTTTTACAAAGTATGAACTAGATTCATAAAAAAATTAGACATCATGTGACTCATTTCATTGCACAAAAGTATTCCAGTGTGTTACTCACATTATGAAGAGAAAGAAATAGACTAGGGACTTAAAAATAAATACTATCAGATATCAACACGCAAATTCTTAGTGTGTTTGTTTGAGCCTTCTTTTAAACTATTTTACCAGAGACAATAAGAGAATACTTCATTTACTTTGTATAAGAGCTCAAGAAAATCCAAAGTGAGAAAAAGACTTTCAGCTTTTTGAGTATCCTTCTATCCATGGCATCAGTTTACTTAACAATAATAAAAATGAAAACCAAATAAACCGTGGATACTAGAAATCAAAAACAAAACCAGAAACTGCTGGAAGAACTCAGCAGGTCTGGCAGCGTTTGTGGAGAGAAATCAGAGTTCAAATTTCAGGTCCAGTGACATTTCCTCAGAAAGCAGACTTAATGTTTCAGGTCCAGTTCAGTTCTGGAAAAGGGTCACTGGACCCAAAATGTTAACTCTGCTTTCTCTCCACAGATGCTGCCAGACCTGTTGAGTTTTTACCCACACTTTTGGTTTTTGTCCTCTGTGTATTTATTTTGACATGAACACACCCCCACCCGCTATGCCACTCACTCACACAAGCTATTGTAGGGAAGCACAAAAGTAAACCTTTTGTGATCTCAGGATCTCCGTGACTCAACAGGTACTGATCGAGCCAGTTCTCTTTGAAGGGTGTCATATGATTCCAAATCAACTATCCTTTCCAGGAGTCCTTTAATATTGCATTGTGCAAATTCAAGATCACAGAGTTTTCTTGGCTCCTTGCTGTTAATTTAAACATATATGAGGCTCTTCCCTCACTCATTAATCAAAGGTTGGAGCAAGCCCTTGGAGATTTTTATTCATGGTTTATTCAACAGGAATGAATGAATCACTGAAGAAAAATATAAAGGA